AAAAAATCCTCTACTTCTGCACTTGGTCGGGGCCAGAGCAAATTTCCCTGTGCCAGGCCAGGCAGATCCATTGTGTCCAGGAGATGCAAAGCAAGCCCAACTCCAGCTTTGCCAACTGATGAATAACTGTGTTTTTTCCAGTTTCTTCTGGTGTCTGCTAAGTTGGTAAAAGTGTCCCAAGTCCACAGTCACATGCTGTGGAGCCATGTAAAATCGTGGCAAAATCTGATGCTCACATAAAAGTGGGCCATGCTAATTGAATTAGAAAAAGCACAACTGAGGAAAACAACATCCTGTGTGATAAATGTTGGCCCTTTGATCCTCTAGTTTCTGTAATGGATGAAAATTAGGGTGGGCTGTCTGGATTTGAGCTAAACATATTAAAGGATCTGTTAAATCTTTCTGTTACTGCCTAAGAATGTCCTTACAAGCCTACGGGGTCTATTAAGTATAAGTGGAAAAGATTGTCTGTGCATGCATTTAATGCCTGTTTTGAGCTGCTGTGTGCAGCAGGTAACTGTGAAATAAATCACAGAAAAGGAAACACAAAAGACAAAAAGGGGATCAGACATTTAGGGCTACAGCGGTACAGGAGAGAGGATGAGTACAGGGGTAAGACAAGGGGGATGGGGCAGAGACAGAAAGCTCAGCAGAGGGGCTTTCTAAAAGACAGGATGGCATCAAGTCTGACAGTAACAGAGCTACAAAAATCATCAGTGATTCATTAGCAAGAGCCCTAGTAAGAGCCAATGAAAAGGAACAGCTGAGAATGGGAATTAAAAAGAAAGAGAATTAGATACTCTTTACAGGAGGAAGCTACATAAAAATAATTGCATCCCATAAAATGAAGAAAATATTTTTTTAGTATACATCTTCTCATATGTTTCAAAACACATGAAAAGTTATTCATTCATGCATTTCATAGGAGTAAAATCCAAATCCAACAAATACCAACAGGTTTGTGAAGGAAGCTGAAAGAGAGAAAAACATCACATTCCTTTGCCAAGCATCTAGCAGGAAACAGAGTCAAAGCCAACACAGATACCGACTGGCCAAGGTACTATGATTTTTGAAGTGGAAAGGGAGGAGTTTGGATCATTCATGAGTTTTTCCTTTCTAAATGGAAAAATAGAGATGATGGAGGAAAGACAGAACAATAGTGTAGCAGCTATTTTATTCTCACTGTTTGGTTTTACTTACTGTATTACAGTCAGACTGGTCAGATAAGGACAGTCTGAAAACATCAGCAACATTTCTTGACACTAAGCCCAGTTAGAACTGTCCCTCCCATAGCCCAGGGAGGAAAACAACCTGTTTATGCTTGAAGTTCTCCAATAGCCAAGCCCTTTACTGTACTTGTGGCTCATCAGCATCATACCACTTTTCTAATGCCCTTCACAGTAAAGCAGCATAAACCCACCCCTTATTCCAAGATCTACATAACAAACCAGGGGCTGCAGAGCCTTCTCAGCTCCCTGCACTAGGCTGCTCCCCCTCTCCCCTCCTCCATCTGAGGCAGTTCCTGTGCAGTCATTTAATTTCAGCCTTATCTATTCCCAATTACACATGGATTAAACTCAATGTAACAGGTTTATTACATGTGCAAATCCACTGCTGTTTAATCTTGCCAGTGCTGTGTTTGGTTTTGATATATTCTGACTGGCTTGCCTCTCAGCAGCAGGTTGAAGATTATTAAACACTGCAGTGCAGAGTTACTCACACAAACTCTCACGTATGTTGTTTATTCGTGTTGTGTGACTGCTAAAAGCAAGCATTCCCAAATCACAGTGTGGACAACATCACAGCAAGAAGGGGAGCTTGTAGTCCGAAGCAAATGTTTCAGGACCATGAGGTCACTCAGGCTTGCAGTGTTGGGAGATGATAGACCGATGGAAAACAAATGACAAACAAGAAGGCCTCCAGACTGTCACCTTTCAAGCTGTTCACTCAAATGCCATTGCAGCCCTCAGAAACTCCACCCACTAACACCCAAGCACTGATGCAGGATAAGCAATGAAGCCAAACAATGACAGAAGCGATGCAGAGACTCTTTCTAATACTCTGTTACGTGTTGAGGGTTGCAATTCCATACAAGACACTGAGTGAGCAACATCTTGCTAACATCCTCTGACTGTGCATGAACAGCTCATGAACTGACTTTTCTTCGTGCCTTACACTCAGTGTACAGGTGAAGGCCAAAGTCTGTGCTCACACACCGGACAAGACCTCTCCCCCTTCTAGTTCCTGAAGCTTTTGTCAGTCAAATTCAACCATTCACTGTTCTTCCCTTGTACCAGACGAGAGCCTCAAGTACTATTTGGGAATTTCTGCTAATTGCAGTAGCGGGTTTCTCCTTCAAACCGGTATCACCTTCACTGCAAAAGAAAAGTCATCACAGGATTTAACAGTATTTCCTTATTTCTTTAGTCAAGGTTTTAAAATACACAATGAAATCTGATGGAAAACTTGACCTTTCATCCTCCCCATTTCCCTGCAAAAGAGTCCTTCTCTTGCTGATTTTAGGCCCTCTTTCTCCAAACAGTTATTCAGAGTGCTGCTGGCATTAGTGGGGTTACCTAGAGGCACTGGGCACTCGGATAAATACAGACCTAAATAACAGACAACAACAGGCAGTTGGGACAGTACTAACAAAATAAAGTGAATATGTTTATTGGGAGGTATCATTTCTTTAGGACAAGTAGGATGCACTAGTGGTTGGGGTTTTTTCCTATAATCATTTATTATAGTTCTTGGATTATGGGATTTTTTTCCTCCCAGTGGTTGAGGGTGGGAACAGCTAACATTTATGTTTCCTAGACCTATAGAGATTCCTGCTTCACAGTAAATCTACTAAAAGACTTGTGGCAGCTTTCAACAACTGCCTAAGTCATACATGTAATAGAGAGACACACAGAAGTAAACACATTTATCATTGTTGATAACTAATCTGTAACCTTTGGGGGGAAGGGAGTCCAGTTTTGTTCTGTATTGGTCAATGACCAAGCAAAAGATGTCGATGGGGGATACAGGGAGTGGATTTTGGCATTAGATAAGTATAAATAATGAGGTAATAGAGAAGAGGATAAAACTGGAAGTTTCCTCAGAGAATATACTTCATTAACCAATGATTCCACAAGAACAACTTTCATTATAAGATTGGCGATTTTTCTGAAACTGCCCATTCTTAGTTTGGTAACATTTCCCCTAAAACTATTACGTATAACTTACTTATAAACTGGCTAAGTACTCTTTGCCAATCCACCTATCCTGGTGGAGGTTTCCTATCTCTATTAACATTCTACTGGGAAATTTTTTCTTTCCTCAGTATTGCAGAATATATAAATATAGCATACATACACATAACACATGTACAACCCTTCAGAATCTCAAATGAGTGATGGAACTGGAAAGGACCACCCAGTCACAACATTCAGTTCCTTTCGACCACATCCATAAACATTTTTTCTCAGGAAAGCCCACAATGCATCCATTTCACACATGCCCTCACATAAAGCAAGTTGGGCCCAGTTCAAATACTCTGTCACTTCTGGTACCTTCCCAGTTCCAGGGCTCTTGCCTGGGGCATTGTGATGCACACAGACATGCAGACCAAGCACCCTCCATCAACAGCTCCTTCTTGCAGCACACTCCACCAACACTCCTAAACATCGGCTGCCTGCATTTTTACTTGTCCCTTTGCTAACTAGATCTCATTTAGAGAGTTGAGGAGTTAATCTTTTATCTCCCTAGCCTTCAGCCTTTGTTGCTTTGTCCAAATTCCCAACCTTGTTCAGAGAAGTCAGCTGATGAGTCCCTCAGCTCCTCTCCCTGGCCTCAGCCAGGAGGCAAAACACCTCCATCACTCCCTCTGCCCTTCCACTGGACCTCCCACCACGTTATCCAGCTTCCTCCTCCTTCATTGCTTTCATATGCTGCCCTACCCTCTTAATTGGGCTCAGCTGGGAAGAGCTGAGCTTTCCTCACCTGGGAGTCCATGGGCAACACACATAATTCCACATGCCAACGCATTTTCTGCCAGGCTTGCGTCTTTACTGTTCCATAGTTTCACAGCCAGCATCATTGCAGCAAATGAGGACCTACATTCAGATGCCTGCATACCAGATCAGCTATACCAACATTACCAGCATATCTTGAAAAAGCTAAAAGGTAAAAAAGGCAATAGTGGAGACTGTCATTTAAACAGTAAAAAATTATTTCTGTTTGCCATATTCATTCCTCATTTTTTTTCCCTTTTCTTAAGCATTTATGTATTCCATAATACTATTCTTTCATCCACTGACTGCCTAATTTTCCATGTAAGACTCTAAAACCCTTTATAAGTCAGTGGTCCAGGTTCACAACTGGCATTACTGCTCCTCAGCTTTCTGGAACTGTAAATGTGTACATAAGCTGACTAACTGGTGATTCATCTCTTAATACTGTCTTTAGGATAATAAATAGGTGTCCTTTCTGGCCTGCTCAAAAACATAGTTCTTGCAGCAGAGCCTAATCTCTTTTCTCCTAAGATGTGAGTTTATTAATAACAGGGGAGAAGCAGGAAAGCAAAAGATCAGCTCAACCCTTTGCAGGTTTTATTGCTTATAAAATTTCTTTCCTCAAGTTTTCTTGATCCAAGCCATAGTCCTGAGACAGTTTCTCCTACCACACTTATAATCATGTGGATAATGAGTCCCTCGTATTAGCGTATTATCTACAGAACATGCACAGTGCTTTCCCACAATAACTGATATCTGCCAGCAGGATGGAAAAGACCTGTTAGTATCTTTAAAATACACCTTCTATTTTTGCCAGAAACATTGTATTATGAATTACTGAAGACAGCCTGTTTTTCTGAGAATTATCTGTAAAAGTGACTGACTATTTAATTAAGGTGTTGGCGGGAAGAGAAAACGTTTCTCTGATCCACACTGACCTCTTTCTCAGGAAGGTGTCAGTGAAATTATTACAATATAAGCATGAGGTGGCCTGGGTGGGCTATTGCAACTACACTGTTTTTCTCTGTTATACATGTTTGCCTTGACATTACCTAATAATACTTGGCCAAAAACTGCCACCTTCTGCCCAGGAGAATCACCATTCCAGTCACTGGGTACACTAAACATTAACCTACAGCAGCATTTGGGCATGGGCTAAGACATTCATCATTAGCAATTTTACAGCATATTCACTAGGCCAATTTGCCTGTGTATGTATAATAATTATTTAAAAGCCCACACACAACGCAATTTTGGCTGCTGGAAAGAATTTGTCAGCTTGGTGTGTTTTCTCCCTGACCTTTATTTTATTCATTCTTACGTTTCTTATGAAATATATCAAAAGTTCCAGAGGACGTTCGAACAGTAAAAGAGCTTTGCAAACTGAGCATCATTTCAGTGTTGATCAGGACATGACCTGGCAGAACTATGAAATCTTGGCCTTAGAGGAATTCAGTGGGAGCTCTGAAGTAGATTTTTCTGCAGTATTTAATTTCACCTCGTATTCCCCTCATATTCTTTAGAAGTTTATTACTGAAGAAATTATTGCATTTCCTTATATTGCAGGTCTGTATTGATGAGGTCTTTGCATGGTGTCCACACAAACAGCCAAAGAAGTATCTGTTAGAGAAAAAAAAAAATTATTCTTTCACTTTTAAGAAAGTGGGAAATTAAATGAAAAACAAAATACTTAATTCCATAGCTCACTACAAGATGTCCAGATATTTTAATTACTTCTGTAAAAAACTGCCCTGAAGATATGAAACATTGACTTAGTCTGAACCATTTTTAATTAAAAGAGGCTGATCTTTCTTATTATAATCCATTAATTTGAAATATTGAGTATTAATAAAATATCCAAACAGACCAACTGAATAACTTCTGTGATATGGAAGATCAGATAACACTTTATGGTACAGTGGCATGTTGAAATATTTCTGTGGCCTTTCTCTCAGCATGATTTCATTTGGTTTTGCTTGAAATTGATTTTGAATTGAAACAAGAACCTGAAGGTCTGATGTAACTTAAGCTGACCTTTGTTCCACCACAGCATTTGCATCAAGCAATTCTGAAAAAAATTTCCCTGCTCTTTAATAATTTACTTACATATATCTTCCCTTCTCCATAGTACTTGTTTTTAAGTACTTATTACGGGCTAACAACAATAATAACATAAATTTCAGGATGAATTCCCTGGGACTATTTTGTTATGCAAGAACAAGAAGGCATATGAACTTTTCCTTGTCTTTCCATTGAAAATTCTAGGACTATTTGAATAGTCACCATTTCTAGACCGTGGCTTTCATATTTAGGAAATTTTAGCTTAGTTTGCTCTAAGAGTGCTAACCACCTTTCTATGATGGGCCCTTGTCTTTGCGCTGTGATGGATTCTTACAGCTGTCACAGAGGGGCAGTGGTATCTCCTAAATCCAAAAATCCACCTCCATGCCTATGTCAATTGGCTAGTCTCTGCAGACAACTAGTGTAGAGAAATAGTCTTCTCTGAATAGTAGTTCAGAGCAGATCCCTAATTCAGGGGATCAAAGCTGTCCTTTAAGAAGTCTCTCCTGTTCAGTAATGATTATAACATGAACACACAAAAAATTAACCTCACAACTAAGGCATATAAATTGGATGCCTGCACCTGGTGCATCCTGCCCATCTCTAAATGAACTCACATTACTGCCAAAGATGCCAGGGATCTGAATATACTGTAGGATTTGCAATTTAAAATTGAGTTAATTTTAAAATAGGCATTGTTGTATAAGCTCTATGAAAGGTGTATGATACTTTAATGGTAGCTCAGGTGGGTCAGCAGCTATGAGTGAACATAAACATATACTAAATCAAAAGCTTTGATAGCCATAAAAAGTATATTGTTAAAACTACAGCACCTGAAACTTTACAGACATTTTAAAATTTTTTCCTACAGCAGAAGCTGAGGAAATAAGACCTTGGGAAAAATCTGCCAGCTGCTGAAGGTAGGAGACACCACATCTTCATGACCTACGAAGGCAATGATTACCACTGAACCCCTGCAAAGGTAAAACCTCTGAACTGTCTTCAAGAGATGAAAGGCCTCATTCAAAACCAGTACTTGGCTATGGGACAACTATAATTTTAGGGTGTTCCTTAGCAACTTCCTTCATTTCACATTGAAGGGTGAGAGCAGAATCCACCACACAAAATATTATAAAACAGTTTCACAGATTCTTCAAATTCCTCTTTACTCTCAGTTCTTTTTTGTTGTTGTTGTTCTTGTACTGATACCACTTCTGGTGCATATGGTGAAAAATGACTCGGCCCCCAAACAGACTTATGTGACATAGCATTTGGACCACTTATTGCATCAGCGTAAAGGGAGGATCATATTGCTGCCTCCTGCCTTAAGTCCAGTCTTTGCCTTCTAAAGCAACTAGTTGCATCATTCTTAATTATCACCATGATAAGCTGTGCCTGGAATTTTGACAGCCCTCTGATTCATGGCCCAATTTATCCACTTCTGGCAGAACATTCTGTGTGTAAACCCCTTCTTCCACAATAAGCTACTAATGACAAGTTGCTCCAGAAATCTTGACAGATGAGGCAACAAACGCTGTCTTCCTGTGGGAAATCCCATATTGCTGAAATGCTTGGGGTGGCATAGCCACCTTATCCCTCAGGATTGCAGTAAATTTTTATGCACCATTTGGACAATGGCTGGGGTAGCGAAGTTGTCCCTACGAACCTGTGTAAGCAGCCTGCTCTGAGGTGATGCAAGTAAAATGTTTCTGTAATGGGCATCGAGAAAGCAGGTACTTAAGAAAGAAGGCAGGCTACGTTTAAATTAAACATACACTTCATATATGTATACACTTTTTTAGGTTTTACAGGTGCTATTCAGTCAATAGGTAAGACAGGCCATCCATGAAATTCATGGAAGTACTTCCAGGGAAGAGGAAGAGCTGAGTCAGACAGTCAGTTGAGTCAGTTGAGTGGTGTCTTTACCTGCAAGTTCAAAGAAGAAAGCTTTTTTTAAGCAGAAGAAGTATTTAGAGAACTATAAGAAAAGAGGAACTTTTCCTTAAACTCACAGTGTAAGGGGAGCAAAGTCACAAATCAAACAATCCATTTTGAACAGCCACCTAATGTCTATTATTCTGATCAGAGCAAGTGAGGGAAAAGGTTTTATCAAACCACGCACAGCTTCTCCATGAGTGAATTCACATTAGATCTGTTACTCTGAGCAAAAGCTACAGCTGGTCTAATAGTACAGAAATGATTAATTGAGAAAGGTATTCAGTCACACCAAAATGTGTCAATATAGTAAATGGGCAGTATTTAATTAGCTCCAGTAAAAACCAGTTAAAATACTCTGGGAAATGAAGAACTCCTTTCTGGAATATTATTTAACACAACACTATTCACAGACAATTTGGCTGACCCCATACAGACTAATTCTTTCATGCTTAACTTGGAATTTGAGGGGAAAAAATACTGGAGACTATACAATACTTGTTAGCAATATAAATCATAAAATTATATTCTAAATCACAAAAACAGTTATGACACGCTATCAGAAGTCAAAAAATACTGGAAGACATTTATAAAAATATTACATATATATATATGTAATTGAAAATTACATAGTGTTTAGCATATCCTCATTTTCTCCTTCATCCTGACAACTTGCATGCAAATATGGAATCATTAAGTGCATTTTAATTTCTACACTATCTTTAAAAATAGAGAAGTTAAAGATATATTTATTATTTTGTAGGAAAGGAAATGTTAATATGAACCAAATGATTACTTTATTTGAATAGTGATAAGACTTCTGCATAACAAAATCCTCTTATAAAGAGGGAACACTGAACCCTATGGAGCTCGAAAAGCAAAATAACAGAAAATGTCATCAAGAAAAGGTACATTCATAGGTGAAAGACTTTCATTACATTACTTTTCAATATATCTCTACTATTAATGTCAGAGTAACAGGTCAAGGCTTTAAAATACCCAGCATATGCCACATTTTTTAGGCAGAAAGAAAATGTAGATTGGGAAAAAAAATAAAAATCCAGAAGTACCTGAACTTCTTGCACTCTGAGGATTTTCTTGTGATTGCAGTTTTTCAAAGCTGCTGAACCAATGTTTTAATTTAGCAAAGATAAATATAATTTCCTGTGTATGACCTTGAATTTTAAGTCTCAACCCAGAGGGAATATTTACAACCTGTAAACAGGCTATGGTAATGGAAATTCTGATAAATCTCACCATTATGATGCTAGTTACATTTATCTTCCAATTTTTTTCCCCGACCTCCCCTCTCTAAGATGTAAATAGATAGCTGACTAAAATCCTGACCCCAACTCACCAAAGGGATATCCCACACCATATGGCATCGTGCTCAGCACATAAAGCTGCAGGAAGAAGAAGGAGTGGGCATGTCTGGAGTTAACTGTCTTCTCAGACACGTTAAATGTGATGGTGCTCTGCTGTCCTGGACACGGATGAACACCTCTCTGTCCGTGGGAAGTGGTGACTGATTACTTATTTCGCTTTGCTTGTGTGTGTGCACCTCTAAAACTACCTTTATCTCAACACCCAAGTTTTCTCACTTTTACCCTTCCAATTCTCTCCCACATTGTACCAGGGGAAAGCGAGCAACTGGCTACATGCTTAGTTGCCAGCTGGGGTTAAACCATGGCAGAACTTTCCCAGTCTGCCATGACTCTTCAGATATGATAGAATGGCTTAGTAACCTCATCTGCCAGTTTCCTCAAGACCCTTGGGTGTATCTCATCATGTCCCAGGGATTTGTGCACATTACAGTTCCTTAGATGGTCTTGAATCTTATTTTCTCCTATGGTGGGCAGTACTCACCACGAACACAGCACATAGATCTCAAAGTTGCTTCAGAGGAAAAGCAACTTTTTGCTCAATATTTAATTTCAAGTTGTCTTTACTGACTGCAGAATGGTATCTACGGGGGACTGAGCAAGCAGGTGTATGTTGCCTTGTTGCCAGCTGGGGTTTGGAGACTGGACTTTACGAACCCAGATCTACAAACTGGTGTTTGCTGATCATCTTAATTCTTGTGATAAAAGCATCATCAGCCTGTGTTTGCTCGTACTTATCATACAGTTCAACTCCAGCATGGCTGCTACTCATCCTCAGAGAAAAGGATACACATACCTTGAGTTCTTAAACCACCCCTCTGGTGGGCAGAAGAATATTTTGGTATTTTACTGTGCCAGTACACTGCACATATTGTAGTGTTCTTTGGGGTTTAGGATTCACAGTTATTAGTGTGATAATAATTTCAGTATTTGGGGAATGAAAGGAGACAATAAGATCTTCTCTAGAATCCATCTCCTACAAATATATTTATTAAATATAAATATAGTATGTGAGAGGCCTTGGTGTCAGCTGTCTTACTGATTTGAACCTGTACAACTAATCTGTAACAAGTCCCTCTGTGAAAGTCCTCTCCTGTTCAGCTTCACAAACTGCTTAAACCTCCAGACTCTGGAAAAGAAGTTCAGCTGTTAGAGACTAATTTGGAGAAACCAGTCAGAAATGTGCTGACTGAAATTCCTACTGCATTGCATCAGACAGAGCTAAGCAGAGGGCAAACCCTCCAGAATCTGAAACACCCTGTCGTATGCCTTTCAAAATTAGGAGGAAAGATTTGTCCCTTGTTCAAGAAGAAAACACTAAATTATCTCAAAACAAGCCAAAATCTCCAGCATCACAAGCATTTTAATGTTTGATCTCTATCTCTTCACCAACGTGTTATCATATGATAACCTGCTACAGAACTACATTAAAAACATCATCCCTCTTTTTATTTTGCTTCCTGTAGCTGCTATTCTTCTAGGAACATTCTGGTTTAAATTGCTTTTCAAGTTCCAGAACTGTACTGAAAAAGCAAAATTCAGTGCAGCTATTTCTGTAGATACATGCAGTAACTGTGATGGAAAAAGAAAACGACCCCAAAACAGAAACCAGCTGTATCCAAGCATGTATAGCAGCATGTATAATTTTCCATAGCCTTGGGCAAGAAATCTATTCATAGAAAAATTCCTAAGGTGTCAGAGTGACCAGAAATGTATTAACAAGAAGATAATTAGGGACTGATTATGAAGACTTACCAGATGGATATAAAATTAAAGTTTGTTGGTTTTGAGTTTTTTGATTTCCCAAGTAACCTGTATATTTAAATGCAGTCAGCAATTTCATTCTCCATGTTACCCAGTATAGCCAAGAAGTTACTTAACAGTTGTTACTGGAATTTCACTCACAAGTTCTTCCTAATTTGATTCAAAACACTTCATCTGGTACCCAGTTTATGTTTTTTGTTCACTAGGCTGTCAAAAGGTTAAAAATAAATCAGTAAATAAGCATAGGTATTTTTTTTTCAGTAATGTTTACATTATGAGCAACTACTTTTCTTTGAAACAGTACTCTTTTTGAGGGAAAAAAAAAAAAAAGGTACTTTATATGCTGTCTCGTCCATAAAAATTACTTTACTGAGATACTATATTTAGGAATCTGGGCATCTAAATGTAAAGAATTTCACTGTGCAAGCTCCCTAGCTATTTTGATCTCATTTACACACAGTGAAAACTCCTTAATGGTTGTACAAAGCAAACAACGCCCATGCCCAAATATTTTCACTACCTGGGATATCTAAGTTTAGAATAAATTGATTAGACTAGCAAGTGAGAAGGAAAAGACAAAGCTGATAACAAAATGTAGACTGAAAATGTTTCATCAAAAGACAACAGGCTCATCGTTAATAAAACATAAGGCACGCAGGGATAAAATTTTCTATTAACAAAGCAAGTGGTTGTATAAAGCAAAATAGAAGCAATGCAAGTTTTCCAAAATGTCCTTTTGCTATGCCTTAAACCAGCTCTGGTAAGACAACTCTTGAAAGCTATATACTCAGTTCATTGCTACCACGCCAAGATAGCAAGCAAGAGTGGCAATAGATGCTTAAAAAAAAAAAAAAATAAAAGTCTCACCACTAAAAAAGAGTTCATTTAGCATAATTTTCTAAGCAGCTGTCAAATGGTAACAGCTTCTGGTCATTACTACTAGAGTCAGATCATTGCTCTGATTTCAAGATCTCTAGTTTTTAATTATTGATTCCCCAGCCTCTCCAGTCCCTCCAACTGTCCTTTCACATGTCAGCTGAAAGTGCTCTTGGTTTATGAGGGAGCTGTAATAAATATGTGCATTGTGCAAAAAATATTTACCACAAAACAAAAATCTATATATCCTAAACTCACAGCAGTATCCTGAATACCATCTTGATGATGCCACCAGATTTTATGTCTCAGGAATATAGAGATCCTTGATTCTTAGCCACCCTGCACCCCCAAAACAAAGAGGACTGGATACATGAACAAAGAGAAAGAGAGAGAGAGAAATTTTTTGTGCTCTCACTAAATAAGTTGTCTGACAGGAAGCAAGGAGAGTTATAATGTGCATATGTACTATTGTGGGAAAACCTATTTGGGTCTATTACAATAAAGAAACAGATGAAGAACAGTCCATCTGTGCACAAATATGACCCCTGTGATGCTGCCAACATCAGAGTGATCTGCCAAATGATACCATCTGCACAAATGGAAATTCTTCTATGGGCAGATTGAGCTCACGTGCAGATTTAGTAAAACTCTTAAAGGAGTACTGTATCCAGAGTCTGTCTGCTTTGGAGGTCAGGGAAGCTTGCTGTCTGCTAATTCTTGTTCTGCTGGATGGCAGGATGAGGATCTGAAGGATGCTGTCTTTCACTGGCTGGTGAGGAAAGGGAGTAGGAGAGCGAACTTTTCAATTTCTTGGGATCCCTGAGCAGGACAAGAGCATTGTGTTCTATTTTCCAGACAGCAAGAACTAGCTCCTTTCTTTGCACCATTCTAAGAGGACTCCTCTCTCTTGCCTCAGTGAGGGCACCTGGAAGACCCTGATTCAGGGCTGCACTACCTCTGCATTGCAAGGACCTTATGGGACCACGATTTGGGATTCCTGATTTTGGGTGAAGCACTGCGTCTCATAGAGCTCCTGACCTGCAAAGAAGGAACCTAACACTCTAGCACAGCGCCTCAAGTGATTTCCAATGGTGACCCCATTTCTGTGGGACCTGTAATCCCAAAGAGTAGCATAGGTGCTTGAACCCATAAGGAGTTTAACCACTCCCTTCAGAACAACCACCCTAGAAGGAGGACATGTGTACCCTGGAGCACATTGAGGTTGCCTGAATTCACCAACACTTTCACATCTGAGGGAGGTTTCCAAGAAAGCCACTGGAACCAACTGGCAGAACAGAAGCTGACAGTGTGCCCTGGAAGCAGGTTGGGCCCCATGGCTTCACACAGAGTGTGTTGGAGTCATGTAAATTTTCATATGTAGGTGCAATTGTTTGGGCTGCAAAGGCAATGAAGACAGTGAGTCCCCCAAGCCACAGAGAGGAGTCTCAGTGAAGGATCTGCCCACAGATGCCATGAAGTTGAAAAAGAGCCGGATCTAACACAAAGTTTAAAGCAGTTGTGAAAGTTTTACCTGTTGCTGAGTCCCCTTGACAATTTCTATGGATTTAAAATCATATTTTAAAATCTACGTCTGTCTCCTATTGCTTTTGAAAAGACCAGCACATAAAAGAAGAGACCAAGTAATTGACTTTGTAGTGAAAACTAAATCTGACCATGAACAAAGCACTGCCAAGACATACTAGTGAAATTAGAAAAGACAAATATATGTATTTCCTTTAATCCTCTTTCTGTAAGGCATTTTAGGTGCTACTTATACAAGAAGTAATAGTAAATTCAGAAACAACTCATGTTAGCGATATCCCCAGAAACATGAACATCCACAGAACATGCACTTCGCTCATAATAGGCCTTAAACCACTTTCAGTACTATTTCAGTACTATTTCAATGGAAAAAGTTTGGATATTTTAGCAAGAAAGGTGATGTCTTTATGTATTTTTCTTCTGGATGCCCTTCTAACACATCATTTTACTTATCCATAAGCAAAAACCTGTAACCAGTATTTGGTGGTCCTGATCTGAGATCAGACCTTGTACCCACAGGTATTGATTGATTAAAGCCCAATTCCAGAACGGGGTTTAGTCTGCAATGACGAGCACTGAAATAATCAGCTTGAGGAGTCAAAGTTCCAGAAAGAAGTTGTAATGCTGAGACAGGCACTTGGGGATCTCCCCTGGGCATCCCAGAGGTGATGAGTATCCAGTGTAACAAGATAGATGTGGGCAGGTCTTAAACACCATGCTTATTCAGGCACCACATGCTCTGTGCAGTGCAAACAAAAGACAACCTGCTCTCTCCAAATCAGAGGTTTAGTTCTTCCCTTATGAAGACAAAACAACCGGCTTCTTTTCTCCCTTGGAGAGCACAACTACTGTAGGATGCGGCCTTACCCTTTTACACAAACAGATCCCTTTTCAAAAAGGCAGAAGAGCCACTTGCTGTATTCCTCATCCTAAAGGGATTTGCAGCTGCATGTCTCCCAAGAGAATGTTAAAGCTACCCACCATTCTGGAAAGAAGGTACTCTCCCATAGCGGGGCAAAAATTGAGACAATAAAAGTGTCTTGATGAGTAGATACCAGGTACATAGGTTCATCATCAATGACTGTTTCACATGAAACTGAAGCAGCCCATGAAGCACAGACTGGAACTTCTCCTTCTCATGCAAGCACCCTGATTACAAATTTGTGACCTACATCAGTTGAGGGGAAAAAAAAAAAAAAAAAAAAAAAAAAAAAAAAAAAAAAAAAAAAAAAAAAAAAAAAAAAAAAAAAAAGCTATATACTTGTGAGAGACGACTGATTGAAACATGCTGTCAATGGACCAGTTTCCAAGGTGATGGTGACAGCTCTTCCAATAAGTCGCTTTTATAACTGGGTTTTGAGGGTGCAGGGAAATATGTATAAATATAGGTATAACAGAATGCCTTCTGTTCAAAATTATTTTTCTTCTTCCAAGAAATGTTTTAAATGTTGACAACCAAGCTGTATCAGAAAACTAATCAGCACATCGACACCCCAGAGTCAAAACGAAATGCAGACTTCACTTATCTTGAATGGCAGTTGCATAGTGACACTTGTCTTCTGTGAAAATTATTATGGAACAGAACCAAGACCTGGAAGATTTGGGTTCTTTGTTTTGCCAGTCTTCCTGTGAGATACTAACCAAGATATGAGGCTTATTTTTTGTGGCTTTTTTGGTGTTTTTTTAGTTATGCATTAGCTTACTCCTGAGTTATGTGAGGAGTTTAGTTCAGAAAGTGATAAAAATTTGTTGGATGAGTAACATCAGCCTGCTGTCTACATTTTGCAGTCATACTAATCACTAGGGACACATCTGACTTTAGGTACTAAAGAATACCTACAGGAAATATCTGTTCACATATTTTCAACATTAATTTTTTTGCTTCCATTTTTTTAATGACAGAACTCAGACAACGGTGGTCAATCTTCCTGGGCTAAATTTCCACAATTTTTCTCTTGAAGAACTTAACTTTTTAAAAATCAAAATCTATATACAATAATGTAGTAATACAGTACTATAAAAATTCTAGACATATGTAAACGACTTAGTAAATTGTGATTACAATTTTTTTTTTATCAACATACTATATATTATTCCATCCATCTTCACTCTGCATTAAGCACAGTGTTTACAAAAATGCAATAGGAACAGGTTGTTCTCACAAAAACCTGATGCACTAGAACACAGTAAGATATATCAAAGAGAAACTAGTGAAAATGAGACTAATAATAAAGAAGGTTAATTTTTATCTAATTTTAGAGTCTTCTGCTGATACTACAGGTTTTGATTAAATTCTTTTTCTTACAAAAACAAAACAAATAAAAGTAGGGGGAATTGTTTGCCTTATGCAAGATAATAATTTAACTAAGTATATTCTACTTTTTTCCAG